TTCAAACCCACCAGCCACTCCTCGGAAGGAAGGTTGGGCAATCCTACTTCCGTAGTGATACTGCCTCGGAAACCCAAGGAGGGGTCGCTATGAGTCAGGTATGACTCGACGGCACATAACAACAACAACAACATGGATATAACACTGTTTAGGAATAGGGCTTTCTTTGTTATGTTAGTGAGTCTATATCAATGTAGGATGTATTCTAAATCATAACAACTTCTATGTGACAAGGAGCAACACAGACACGAAAACAAGCAAGTACAAAAGGTGGAAAGATAGATGCCATGTGAATGTTGTGGGAGGGAGTAGTATAGGAATAAATTTTTTTATGTTACTAAAGTTAAATTGTTATCAATTTAATCAGTTGTTATAAATGTAAGATGTTAAATGTAATTCTTATGGTAACCACACAACCACACAACACAAAAATAACTAACAAATATACACAAAAGGGAAGAGAAAGGAATCAAAATAGCTCAGTACCAAAAAATCAACAAAACACAATTAGTGGATGAAATGAGGAACAAAGAATGTATAGCATAGAAAACACAAATAACATAAAGCAGAAGTAAGTCCTTCCTTATTGGTAATTATTGTGAACATAAATGGATTATATACTTTAGTCAGGCAACCTACTTCCATAGTGATACTGCCTCAGAAACCTAAGGAGAGGTCGTTATGAGTCGGGTCTGACTCGATGGCACATAACAACAACAACAACAACATACTCTAATCAAAAGGCAGAGAGTGGCAGAATGGATTAAAGAACAACATAATCCAAATACATGCTATGTACAAGGGACACATCACAAATGCACAAATGGGTTGAAAACGAAGGGGCAGAAAAATATTTTCCATACAAAAATAACCAAAAGAGAGCTGGGGTAGTGATTTTAATATTGTACAAAATAGACTTTAAGTAAAATGCTATTACTATACGACACAAAGAAGGATATTATATAATGATAAACAGTCAATTCATCAAGGAGCTCTGGTAGCACAGTGCTCAAGGCATCTGACTGCTAACCAGAAGGTTGGTGGTTCAAACCCACCAGCCACTCTGTGGAAGCAGGACTGGGCAATCTACTTCCATAAAGATTTACCACTTAGGAAACCCAATGGAGGTCGCTATGAGTAGCAATCAACCCGATGGCAGTGGGTTTGGTTTTTTGGTTTAGTCAATTCATCCAGAATATATAACAATTATAAATATATATGTACCT